GGTCGTCGGCCTCCAAGGAAGGAGGTCTACTGGTGGTCCCAGGAGCTGGCGGACCTCCGTGCGGCCTGTACACGTGCCCGGAGGTCCTACACACGCAGTCGGCGGCGTCACCGTGGAGACGGTGAGGAGGACCGGCTTCATGAGGAGTACCGGCGGGCGCGGAAAACTCTGAAGCTGGCCATTAGCCGCGCCAAAGAGGAAAAGAGACAGGAGATGCTGGAGGGTCTTAATCGTGACCCCTGGGGTCGCCCTTACCGCGCGGTGCGACAAAAGCTCCGCGCGTCGGGCCCCCCCCTTACGGAGACTCTCCAGCCCAGCTTCCTGCGCGAAGTGGTTGAGGGCCTTTTCCCACAACGAGCGGAACACACTCCCCCGTCGATGGCCTCCCTGGCCGGAGACGACGGGGAGCACGGGGAGGACAATGTTCCGCCCGTCCGGGATTCGGAGGTAGGGGCGGCTGTTCTACGGATCCGTTCCAAGAACACCGCCCCTGGGCCAGACGGGGTACCGGCCCGAGTGCTGGCCCTGGCCCTCAACCACATGGCAGACCGCCTCGGGGAGGTGTTCGACGCTAGCTTGGCGTCGGGACGCTTCCCTGAGTGCTGGAAAAGCGGGAAGCTGGTCCTATTGAGGAAGCCGGGACGGCCAGCCGATTCGGTCGCGGCCTATAGGCCCATCGTGCTGCTGGACGAGGCGGGCAAATTGTTTGAGAGGGTTCTTTCTGCCCGCATCGTCCGGCACCTCTGCGAGGTGGGCCCCGATCTGTCGGACGCCCAGTTTGGTTTTCGGGCGGGGCGTTCGACAGTCGACGCCGTGTTGCGCCTGAGGGCCGTGACCGAAGAGGCCGTGAGCTGTGGCGGCGTGCTGTTGGCGGTGTCACTGGACATCGCCAACGCATTCAATAGTCTGCCATTCAGCTGCATCAGGGAAGCACTCCACTATCATGGGGTGCCAAAGTACCTGAGGCGGCTAGTGGCAGACTATTTAGAGGAGCGTACCGTCGTGTACGAGGACCGAGAAGGTAATTTGAGGTGTCGGCCCATGTCGTGCGGTGTTCCACAGGGGTCTGTTCTTGGACCCCTCTTGTGGAACATAGGGTACGACTGGGCCCTTCGCGCCGATTTCCCCCCCGGGCTGGGTGTAATCTGTTACGCAGACGATACCCTTGTGACAGCCCGGGGGGCAAACTTCCAAGAGGCGGCGCGCCTGGCCACAGGGGGAGTCTCCCTGGTGGTCGGGCGCATTGAGGCGCTGGGCTTACGGGTGGCCCTAGATAAGACGGAGGCCCTGTTATTTCATGGGCCCCGTCGTGGTCCACCCCCTGGCGCCTCCATCGTGGTCAACTCGGTCCTCGTACCGGTTCGGGCCCAGATGAAATATCTGGGCCTGATCCTCGACGGGAGGTGGCTCTTCGACGAGCACTTCCGACAGCTTGCTCCAAAGCTGGTCGGCGCTGCGTCTGCCCTAGGGCGACTTTTGCCCAATATGGGTGGACCCAGCGTCGCGACAAGACGGCTGTACACGGGGGTTGTCCGGTCAATGGCACTGTACGGTGCACCGGTGTGGGCGGCGGCTCTGACCGCCCAGAATAGGGTACGCCTCTGGCGCCCTCAGAGGGTAATGGCGGTCAGAGCCATACGCGGTTACCGCACCGTCTCGACGGAGGTGGCGTGCGCGTTGGCCGGAACTCCCCCGTGGGATTTGGAGGCGGAAGTGCTCGCCGAAGTTTATCGGCGAGTGGCTGACTACCGGGCGGAGAGCGGATTTCGCCCTCCGCCCGAGGATGTGCGCGAGTGGCGCGAAGCCGCTCGCCGAGCCACGATGGCTCGTTGGTCGTTCCGGCTGGAGACTCCACGCGCTGGCTTCGCCGCCGTGGAGGCTCTCCAGCCGGTCATCGCCGAGTGGGCAGGGCGGCAGCACGGGACCCTTTCCTTCCGACTGACGCAGGTGCTTTCCGGGCACGGTTGCTTCGGAAAGTACCTGCACACGGTCGCTAGGAGGGAACTGAGTCCCGCCTGCCACCACTGCGACTGCAGTGAGGACTCGGCCCAGCACACGCTGGCGGTCTGCCCCGCATGGGCGGCGCAGCGCCGGGCCCTCACTGCAGTCATCGGAGTGGATCTCTCGCTACCGGCCGTAGTACGCTCCATGGCCGGTAGCGACAGTTGTTTTACCGCGGTCGCAACCTTCTGCGAGGTAGTAATCTCGCGGAAGGAGGCGGCGGAAAGGGCCCGGGAGGACGACCTCCACTCGGACCCGATCCGCCGCCGGCGAACCGGGCGGCGGAGGCCCGCCTACCACAGCCTCATGCCGCCCTGAGTGTGGCCGCGGGTGGACGGGGTGGGTTTCCCCTCCACCCGCATTAGTTGGCCAGCCGCGAGGGGGCGGCGTCCGCGTGTGCCGGACGTCGCCTAAAGAGAGGAAAATATCGAGACGGAGCCCGCATCAGGAGCGGGCTGGCGCTAGGAGGGGTCCGGATGTCTTAACAACAGCTGTTCCCGGATCCCTCCTGTTACAGGCGCAGAGTGGCACACCGTGTGGTTTTAGTCGGTCCGAGTCCGACACACCACCCCGCCGCAAACCCCGGAGGGGTGACGGTCCGAGGGGATTTCCACACGTTAAAAAAAAAAAAAAAAAAAAAAAAAAGGGTTTGTTTCAAGTTTTTCTTCTCTTTGCAGTGCTGTTGTCCTGTGTAGTTTTCCATAATGGTCCATACCTTAAACTTAACTTTTGACAAGTACCTACCTAAATACATTACTGACTGTTTCTACCTTCCGACTATGAGTAGTCTTAAGGCATTAAACTACACTAGTAATTAAACAGTTTCTTGCCTGTAGAGCATAGGTAATGACACTGAAAATCTTGTATTATTATAGTGGTTTATAAGCTGATCTAGCATGTAGAGTCAAAGAAGAGATTTCGCCAATGTGAAGTGTTTCGAGAGAAACGTTTACTTTATATATTGATTAGCCGGTAGTCTTGGGTAGTACACGTACGATGTACTGATAGGTACTAGTACTGGGTATTGTACTAAAAGTAATGTTTCCGAAAGGCAGCTGTTAATCGGACATTTTGCACTATTAGTACATCGTGTCTACTTTAAGCCAGTACTAAAACTATCTATTGTTTACTCTGTCTACTAGTGTCTACGTTCGTTCGCTATGCGACGTACTATTAATGCTCCGCTTTATTGTCCTGTATTGGTAAACAGTGTGAGAGTAAAAGAGACAGCGATACAGGATGTACTACAATACGTTGGGTTGTAAAGTATGAAGGAAAATCAAATAGTATGCTTAAAAATTTAGTGTAAAGTAATCTAAAAAATCGTATTTAAAAGTCAAACTGTTAGGGTTTATGGGATTCAGTAAGGGATAACACATTAAAAATAATCAAGAACTGTTTAATTATTTCTATACTGAAGAAAAGTAACTGCCTAATACAAAGCCATCTATTTAAAAAAAAAACTATAACACTTTTTTTTAAATTACGTAGTTTAATTTATTTAATTATTAGTATTCCGTTTCATTAATGTTGGTAATATCAATACAAACGCTTAAGTTTTCTACTTCTACTAAAACTGTACTAATAGTACTATTACGTTGTACGAATTGTACTAGTACGGTGCGAACCTGCAGATGTCCGATTAAGCACAAGACTATTAGCCGGTGATGCACAAAATGCTCAACACAACACAGACACAACAATTTATAAAATGACATGTTATTGAAATTTACAGTCAGGGTTGCCAACTGTTTAAAAACTTTCCCGCTACAACGATTTTAAAAACCACAAAATTCACACTAAATCTTCGGACGGACCAAGTATTTATTCATGGCAATGTAATAGACACAATGCCATCTATTAAATTTGGAATTTTTCAATCTGTTTTATTTTTTATTTTGATGTAAAATACTGTAGAAATACTTAAAAATTCAAGTTACATTTTATCCCTAAAACTATTAATTTATCCATATCACACAAACAGGAATAGAAATAGTTGTGATCCTTGGGCACACTTTAACTATTTTTTTTTGTCATAATGTGCCTAGAACACCTACTCTCTATTAGACATGGGACAAAATTACAGTGAACTGTGATTTGTCATTCGATTTTTTCGTACGTCTGTTAGTACTAACGCGTTGTTGCCAATAAGCTGTTTTCAGATGCTATTTAACAGTAGATCTAGTATTTTTTTTTAATTATTATGTAGTGAATGGTACCTATATATATATTTTAATTATTACTAGATTTACTGTTAAATAGGGCCTTTATGCATCGTCTAAAAACAGCTTATTGGCAACAACGCGGGAATAGGTAGCAACCTTAACCTGCGTACGAAAAAATCAAATAAATAATCAACGTTCATTCATAATTCACTGTGATTTTGACCCATGTCTACTCTTCATTATACTGCAACTGCTCTATTTCATTTAATGATGTAAAATAGAAACTGGCCAGGAAAAATAACCTTAACTTTTGACTGAAAAGCTTCTCATTCACATTAGGAGTAATTTTCGCATTTGGCAACTCAGTTGTAGTTTCCGTATATTGGTATTTGCTGACGCTGCCCATATTGTCCACATCCGGAGCTACATTTTATCATCTCATTCAATAAAAACAAGTGTAAATAACACATCATTAAGTAAAGTGAAGTTTTAAATTCATTAAATACTTTCTGTATTTTATATTAATGTATTTAGTGTATTGATTCAAGTTAAACTCTCGTAATATAACAATGCTACCAACATAAGTTTCTGGGAAAATAATTTCGTACGCAGTCGGTGATATTTACAACTAATATTTTGCTACTGTTTTGACAAATAGGAGACATTATCTTACATTTCCCTTTTAGAGTACGTCATTTTGACTACAAATGTGACTATATATCAATATTTGGACTGGTTGTGAGAAAATGTTGTAGTAACAGTCGTACTCGGCGTTCAATGACTGCTTGACTGACAAAATATGGTCGTACACTTAGCTTGAACATATTTGTGGTGATGTGTGAAAACAGTGCAATTAGTTATTTGGATGGGGAGGTGGTATGGGTTAAGTTGGGTTCCTGCTGGTGGCCCGGTGAGGTGGTCGGATTTGACAAGCTACCACCTGATGTGCTGCCTTCTTTGCGAAAACCACCGATTGCTGTTGTAAAGTTCTTCCAGGAGGATGCATAGTAAGTATTGTACCGGAACGTTTATGGCTTAACATGTGGACTTTATATCAGGAGACACAAGTTCTTTTGTGTCTTGTATTTCAGATAGTTGATATTTATATAATTGTCATATAAAGCCACCTTGCTGTACTCCTTAATGGTATTTTATCAATGAGTTCCTTTGTTGAAAATGAAAGAGGATTTTAATATTTTTGTGTAGTTAGTTCATTTTATCCCATATAAGTTCAATCAATAATACTATCAATAATAATGTAAATCTACTAAAATAATGAAATGTGTAAATAGTATAATTTGTGTTAATTTTCACATAATTTTGTGCATTTGTCACAAAAAATATGTTATTCTTCTAAACCCAATGTTTAGCCTTTCCTTTCATTTCATTTATTCCATGCATCACTTATAATACAGTTTAGATTTAGCATATATTGGTTATATATCAGTCATCAATTAAAGTGAGGAAGCCTGCTTTATCAATGAAAGACCACAGAAATTAAATCTGACCAAGGTTTAATTATGATTGCTGATCAATATTTATCCATTTTGTCATAGCTTTTCTGTCTTACATGGCAGCTGATATGGCTGTAGTATTTGCTAAAACTCACTCACAAGTATACTGCGAGTGCTACCAGTTATTGCTTTCATGTTTTTGATTATATATTAACTTTGTTTAATACTAATACACTTGTTGATTGACTTGCAATTTTAATTCTATTATATAACAGTGAAATCTGATCACCTGAGAGTAAGATCTCGGATACCTTATGTCTTCTAACCCACCATATAAGACTATCACCTAGCTCACTAACTTTGAATTAGCAGGGCTAATGTATGTGTCGGTTTCTATAATATTCAACATCTTTCGAACTCTTTTTCGTTAATATAATATAAGCTTCTAATATGGAGGACTTTTCCTGTTAATAACTAATATCTTTGATAGTTTTTATAAATAAGTCATTGAACTGTTGTATAGTAGTGTATATTAAAAATATAAATCTTCTTTATATTTTAATTAAATTTGAGAAGTTACCTAAGATATGTATAGTCATTTTTGACCAGTTTAGTATAAATCAATTCATTTATTACATATTTTCCACAGCAGAAAATGTAATAAATGAATTGACTTATACCAGAATTAATATTGTGTTACACTGTGCTCTGAAAAAATGGAAGTATAATGTCTAAAGTATTTACACAAAACAGTATTAAGACTCTTCTAAATATATTTAGCACTGAGTCCTGTACACTTTAACATATCAATACATATATAAATTATTATTTATGATATGCATAATATTGTAATGGCCTGTCCAATCTTGTGAGACTTCCATTAGCATTAGTTTAGACGGCCATCAGCCAAATACTTACTTTTTACTTTTTTTCTACTTACTTTTTTAAATGAATAGTAATAATATTTATTTGTTTCTAATAACATTTTAGATCCCTCCTGTTTATTACAAATTGACTTAAAACCATTTTAGTTAGTATATTTAAAAAAATATATATTTTTCATAAAGCTGTGGAGCGGAGCATCAGGTATATGTGTCCTTTACCAATGTTCCAGAAACAGATTATTTTTGTTTAAAAGTATCTGTATCAGGTATAGGTTTTTTTATGGCCCAGCCTGTACATTAAATGAGATAGTCAAAATATAGTAATAAAATATATATCCAACAAAAAGATACATTAGATTACTAATGAAAAATATTTTCTTTCCAGTGAATATGTCAAAAATGCCAATGCCATCTACAAATATGACTGCAGCCGAAAAAATGAGTTTATCAGTAAAGGACTGAGTAAGTTGTATTTCATTATGTCATACTTGAAAAATAATTTAATAAAAATACATTTTTTATTTAAAACTAAATTAAACTTGAATATTCTTTGCCAGATCTTTATCGAACCAAACATGGGCCTATGGAAAAGTTTCCTGAAGATGTTGTCAGGGCTGAGACTGCAACTGGTGGTGATACAGATATACTCACAAGAGATGAGTTTCAAGAAAAGAAGAGAGAAAGTTACGCTGGCATTTTTGGTGATCCAACCAAGAGAACTCCTATCTCTGGTAAAAAAGGTATGTTAATATTATTTTACACTAGAATTTAATTAGGGATTCTTTAGGTAAGACAATAATTATAATTTTTTATGGGTACAGGTAAAGGAGCTAAAGGTAGACCTACAGAATATCCAAGGACACCAACAAGAAAGGTAATTATTGTGTTATTTAATTTTTATTTACTAACATGTATTTTTCTGTGACTTTGATAAGTTCCGTTACAAGAATAAAAAATCATCATCTTTAATTGCTACTGAGCTTTTCTAAAAAAATGACTACCATAAAATTACTGCAATGAACATTTAGATTTTTTAATATAATATGACAATTTGCTTGGGATTGATGCTGCTCACTCCCACATTTACGTAGACATCTTTGTTGTTAAGTTTGAAAGTGATGGACATTTAATTTATTTTTTTTGGTGTATTTCGTATTTTGTTTTCGTATTTTATTTTTGGTTGACTTTGAATTGTATAGTATTTTTTTATTTTTTGTGTAAGTATGTAAATGTGAGTATAGTGTAGGCTTGTAATGTTAATTCATATTTTATTATCTTTCTGGTGGTTTTGAGTGTTTCCATGGCCTACCCAAATGTCCTGCTGGCGGTAGTGTCATGCTTCGGTTCATTGATCTTGACCAATATCGGTTAGTCTACACAATGGCTGGAGCCTGTATGCGGTCTGTATGGACAGGCTGACTCAAAACTATGGTCCTTTCCTCAAAAGGCCTATCCAGACCCTATACTGTACTCGCACAGTTTTATTTAACTTTGTTTACGGACTTTAAAAAAAAAGACACCTCTGTGGTTTGTTTCGGCGTTTCTTCCCAGAGTGAGTCTTAGGAAATGCCGGCGCCTTCTAGCTATAAAGTCCGATTTGCTTACAGAAATAAATATCATTTATCATTTAATAACTTACTCATTTCACACACAGCCTAACTAACTAGGCAGAGCCTGTGCTATGGTAACTGCTGATAAACACACTTATATATTTCTAAATACATACATATTATAGGTAAAGTACACCCATACACAGAACAAATGAATCGAACCCACAACCTCGGGCGTAGCAGTCATGGTCAATAAACACTAGACCAGCAGGCGAGTCAATTAAACAATTAACAAAGGCTGACAAAGTAAATGTGTGGTTGTGTTTTGTTGTCTGTTGTTTAGTAGAATAATTTTTTAATGAGTTTCTATTATTCTAAATTTTATTTTGAACCGTGATGTGAAAAAACATTACCCTGCACACACTTAATCTCTTACCTCTCTACATCTCTACATGTTATGCATTCCATTGCACTATGGAATGCCCTCCCTGCAGAGATTAGCGTGTTAACCAACCATGATGTTAAGGTATGTGAACTTAACAAGAGGCAACTTGTAATAATATCCTATCTACAATCTTCATTATAGTCATGTATATTTATATATATGTATATTCATATTGTTTGTTTGTATATATATATATATAAAATTTCTCAAAATAATTTTGATACACCTGCCATGTCCCGCTGCCCACTGAATCTTCCAATATAAATACAAAGTTGCACCTGTGAATGAAGTATGAGTGAAGTAGCAAAGAGCTTTGTACATGGAAATGGACAAGACATGAGGGCGGTACTCTAGGAAAGATTGATAGGTTATAAGGATTCAAATTGTGTGCTGAATTAAAAACCATATTGTACCAATATGAAATAAAATTAGGACAAGGTAAAGCAAAAGTGGTCATGTTTAGTAGGTACCATTTCTCAAAAATAAAATTTGAAGATTATAATTGGGACATGTGAGCCACTACCATTTACCACACCTTCTTTATACAGTCTATGTTATTCATAAGAATGAAACCTCTTTTACATGTGTTTAAAAATTTCAGTCCAAAAAGAGTATTACTTTGGTTGAATTAGTGGTTACATGCATTAACATAATTATAAAATCTGTTTCAGAATTTTGAAAAAGTTGACTACAAGGTTCACATTCTGGTACAAGGTTCAAAGACACCTAGTTCTGAAAATTTATCTACACAAACTGAAACTCCTACAACACCATCATCAAGCGGTGAACAGGAATCTGAACACAAACAAGATGACACTCCAGATAAAGATGACAAAGAGAAGTCAAACAACACTGAAAAACCAGCATCATTTGCAACTCCAGTAGCTTCAAGTTCAGGCATTTATGCATGCCATGCATGCTCATTTACAACTACCCGTTTAAATGTTTTAATTCTACATAACAAAACACACAGTGTCTCATTTACACCATATACTCCATCACCAGTACGGAAAAAAGTTACTACCAAGCCATCTGCTAAATCACCTGAAACACCTAAAGTACCAAAGGTGCGTAAACCACGCAAAGAAAAAACTGAGAAAGAGCCTAATAAGGTATTACCTACTACTCCTATTAAAAAGCGACCAGCAGATGAGCAACTTGATATTACTGACACTAAAAAAATTAAAACAGATGAAGAGATAAAAAGTAGCCTCCTTGCAGATTGGGATGATGGTGATGAAGAATCTAATGATGAATCTTCAGTTATAGTCATGGCAGGATCTCCTGAAGTGCCTGAGGCGGCGGAATCGCCTGCTATACCCACATCCGCTGATTTATCGAGTATACAAGTCTCAGTTGAATTATCATCACCTGTAGAAAAGAAATTCAACAAGTCACCCCTGAGTGACAAAGCAGAAGCTTCAAGCGATTCTAAATATGAGTTTTGTGAAGATGAAGATTGGCCTTTGGAAGCTGACGGAGGCAGAAAAATACCTCGTGTTAAAAATGCAAAACGTAAAGAAGACACAAAGAGCATTAGTTTAGATGATGATGAAGTCGCTAGAGAAGTTGCTGAATTACTTAATAAAACTACTGTACCAGAATTACCTTCAGCACCAGAGCCATTAAAAGTTGAAGAAAATTTTCCTGAGCCTACAATTGTAAAATCTCCCGACAAAGATAAGTTACCTGAAAAAGCTGAAGAAAAGCCACCCGAAATTCAACCCACAAAAGCAATATTTAAGACCAAAACATTTTTCCGGAGTCGTCATTCCAGGAGTCAAGATGCAATTGGAAAATATGTAGCAGAACAGTTAAATGCAGTAGAAAAAATGGATATAGCAGAAAGTGACATAAATGGTTCAGAAGCAGTATCTTCACCGGAAACCAGAGACTCTCCCCCTATTGAGCATGTTAAAGTAGCGCGACTTGCACCGAAAATACAACTTAAGAAACTGAAAGCTGAGGCAGCACAGCTACGCGAAAGAGATAAAAATAATTTAGATTACTTCAGTGATTTTGATCTTAATCCTTATGCAGAGCTTGTGGCATCTAATGCTGCAAGTCCAGTTTCGCAACCTGATTCAGGCCCTATCCCTAAAAAAGACGATCGTCAACTTTTACAAGATGTATTATATCCAACACAAGAAATAAAACCAGTAAACACGGACATGGCAGATCAAATTAAATCCCCTAAAGACAAATTTAAGTACTTGATGGACAATACTAATGAACTGATTAATCAGACCACTGTAGATGAGAGAGATATAATTCAAGGATTAGAAAACGATAACACTGCTCCACGATCAGAGAAAAAATCAACTATTAAAGAATCGGAAAAAGTCAACATTCTCGTAGATCTAGAAAGAGAACATATTCTTCAAGACTCAAATAAAGAACCTATGGAAGAAAGCCCAGAAATTAAAACACCAGCTCACACGCTTCTTCAGGAACAAGAGAAAAATCAGATGGTAGATATTCAAACACCTGATACTTTATCTCGAGATCAAGTAATAGATGATGTTATAGAAGAACCAATTATTAATATGGTTACTCCTGAAACAGGAATAGACAAAGTTATGACTGAACCTGAAATGCATAGCGTTCCGCAACACTCAGAACTACCGAGTGTAATCCAAGAACCAAAAATACAAAATGTTATCCAAGTACCAGAAATCCAAAATGTTATTCATGAATTACAAGTTAATGCCACTCAGGAACCAAGCACTAAAGTAGAAAATGTGGAAAACAAATTTCCTAAAACCAAACTTCAGAAAACTTACGAAGAGTCTATAGAACCTTTTATGAATGAATCCACCGCTTCAGCAGTTGACGCTTTGCTAAGCGTATCGAGAGAAGCAGACAGAGTTACCAGGGTTATTAGTGATGATCCTCCCGAAGACTTATTTGAAGATGACAATAAAGATAGCAATGGAATGTGTAATGATGTTAATGGTTTTAAGGAAAACATGAGTAGAGAAAATGGCGCCGATAACAGTAAATATGTTGAAACCAAAATTATTGATCCTGATGGTGAAGAAAATGTAAAGGAATCGACATATAACGAAAAGCCACAAGATATTATACAACAAATTACAGTAGATAGTAACACCATTACAGAAGTTGACAGTGTATCTAAAAATATTGAAACTATACCTTCAGAATCAGATTTACAAATAGCAGAAACATTACTCAATTTGCCATCAACAGCTATCCAAAAAGGGACTGCTAGTGAACAGCAAGACGAAAGCTGTAGTGTAGTATTGCCCAAAGAATCTAGCCAAGAAAAAATGAACCTACCATCCAAAGAAATGGTTCCTAATGAGAAAAATGACAAATCTTTATCAGAACAAGAGCCGAAAATACCGCATAAAAAGTCTCTTTTAATTTCAAATAACGAAAATTCAGGGCTTAGGTATGAAACTGAACAGGAAAAAAGTGAAAACTTGAATGCTGCCCAGTCTCTTGTTCAAATGTCGGAATCTATCGATCACAAAATTAGTATTGATCATAACCTGAGTAATTCTGTAAATAATAATAAGGATATAATTATACCTGATACTGGTGCATTTCATATCAAACAAAATAATGGTTTGGATAGTATCAGCAAACCTGAACAAAAAATTGCTGTTCTGACTTCTGAAAATAATAATGATAATACAAACGGGAAACACGTGAAAATGGATACGTCATCATCGAAACTATTAAAAATATTAGAAGAACCATGTACACCTAAATTTGCTTCGAACAAATCGGGTCTAATTAAGCAAACTTCAATTTTATCGGGGAAAGAAAAGATATTGAATTTTGATGTTGCTAAATCATCTTTTAAAGGCAAAAGTGATTCACCTAAACAAAAAATAATCATACGTCGAACTACGCCTAGCAGGAATAATATAACTAATATCTCAGATATAACTACAGCAGATAAAATTATACTATCGCGCACTAAGAACCCCGCCCAGGATGGTTCGGTACAAACGTACACGATTCAAACATCTCCAGATGCACCACCTGAAAATAACACCATAATAATTCCACAGAAAGTTCGAAAAATAACGAAACCACCTATGAAATTACAAAAAATCAAACCACAAAATTCACTTGGATCACCCATTACAGAAACTAAAGTTAGTAATGAACCAACTACAGATGAGGCTATGTTCGACATCAATTCAATGCCCATTGTGTTATCTGAGGACTTACTAACTCCTGAAAGTATTGAAAAAATGCCGATAGTGATGTCAGATGGAAACATTATAACTCACACACCAAATCCACCCAAACTCGTTAAAACAAAACAGCCCATAGAAAATGAAAGGATGACAATTAGCGCCACTACAAACAAGCCAGAATTGAAAACCTTACTAATGAATCCAGTCACTGAGGCTAATAAAGTTACTACGCCAAATATTCTATCAAAATCCTCGAAATTGCGAGGTGCTAAACCCATGTTAGTTATTGATAAAGCAACAGGAAAACAGAAAATTATAATGACGAAAGCGGAACCTGCAGTTAAAGAGGTTAAACAGACGCCAACATTGATTCAGGCTGTCCCACAAAACACGGGCAAGGCAGAGAAATTCATAATTCTACCTACTCCTAATTCACCTCGCCCTGGTAGAACACAAAAAATTGTAATAGATCCACAAACAGGCAAAGCACATGTCCTGGTAGCCAAAGATACGCAACAGGTGAGCTCAACTGAAAACAAACCTGTTTCAGCTAAACTAATTCCATCATCCACTGAGGCCAGCACGTCGAGCAGTACTGTAATGATCATAACGAATGCGCAAGGGACGCAATCTAGAATAGTTCTTACTCCCGAGCATGAGAAGATGCTATTTCCAAAGAAGCAACAACCAAATGTTTCTCAATTAAAAACTATAGCTCATAGAATATCCACTAATTCTGGTGCTACTTCAAAAACTGTAATCACATCAATAGCACCTGCCCGAACGCAAAATATATTACCAGCAAAAACCCAAACAAGGATTGTACCTAAACAAAAGAGTGCTATAATAACGTCCAAAGGCCAATTGATTGTTGGTGGCAGGGTGGCAACAACAGCACAAAATATTGCACCCATGCCCGAAATCAGGCCAGTTCCGAAGCGAATAATCGCCTCTGAAACTAAAAAGCTCGTTCAGACTATTCAAAAGTCGTCATCTGAGCCTTTGATATTCTTGCAACAGAAATCCGGTGCTGTCATGCAGTTAACAACGGCTCAGTTTGAGCATTTACAAAGAACAGGCCAGATTGTACAGAAAGCACCCGCACAGTCTATACAAGAGAAAGTGATTGTTCAAAAAACAATTACTGTCCCATCTAACGAATCTGTTGTTACAACAGTACAAAAACCGAGAGCACGTAAAATGCTCATGGAATCGCCAGCACCTTTAAAAAGATTAAAGCAAGAAATAGCCATAGCTCCTGCGCCTGCATCCCCTGTACCCGCATCCCCTGTGCCAACTCTATCTCCTTTAAGTAATACTGCTTCTTCATCCATTGTGCCATCCATATCAAATACGGTATCGGTTTCAACGACTTCCCCTTATTCCGAATTTGATAACTTCGAAGAACTTTTACCGTCTACCGCAATCGCAAGACAAAATGAACCTGTAGTAACTCCGGCTGCTAGTCCCGCAGTAGAGCAAGCACAAGTTGCTCCTCCTCCTGGACCTATTTCTGATGGTCAGTTAATGGCCGTGCCTGGGGAGCACTTTGGCGGTCCTCCTGGCTCATTCTATCTTTGCATGGAGGACAACGGTACTTTTACTGCTATCGACCATCGACCGTTAGTATTGGAGAATAACCAACTGGTTCCGATGCCCGAACCTTTACCGGTCATTGGAACGCAACCGGAACGTAGAGACATCCTTGAGGCGGCTTTGGCAAATAGCGACGTTTTCCACGCAGACACACCGCGAGATGAAGCTCCTGATTTTAGAGATTTGAATGCTAATGTGTCAGTGCACTGTCGCGTTTCTGAAACCAGTACTACATTAAATCAGGCGCCTATTATGACTCCTGTAGAAGTTCCTACTAAAGTTGATAGTGAACCACCTATTTCTTCAAATCTAGAAGACGGCTTGGCCGTTATTGGTATCTCAGCTCACACAGTACCGACATCACTCGAATTGCCAATAACTGTTACGGACCCTAGAATAGCGCCTAAAACTACAGATCCTTTGAGTAGCACCTCAACCTATGCTACTACGGGTCTGTTGCCTTCATCCAACACGGAATTGACCTTTGTGAGTACTGAGGAGACTGAGGTTTCAATGAGAGGACCTATATCAATGCCGTTGCTTACAGATGACGAATCTGTGGGCAAGTCTATGCCGATATTGACGGACGAACTGGCTGAGAGAACCGTTTCCTCTGTGGATTCTACAGTTGGATCTCCATCATCGATAGATGTACGAGAATCTGAAAATGAAGACAGCCACAGCCAATGGACTCGCCGATTGCTAACTCCAGGTTCTGACACCTCTGAAGCATCAGCTGAGATACCGTTGCAGCCACTTATTCAGCTCTCAGTCAATGAATTATCTCGACATAGCTAAATGTGAGATTTCAGTAGTACATTAATGTTAGGATCTTTGGATAACTTGGCAGTTTTAAAGCTGAGCATCGTTGACTATATTTATTTGTGCCTATTTCATAAATTACAATGTTTTATTAGTGCAATAGATATTTACATGTGAACTTATTCTTTTTCGATGTGAGTGTATCAAAATATTTTTATTTTATAGTATTATAATAGGAACAACTTTTTAACTGTTGTGGAATCTGCAGAGCGTTATAATATAGGTATACGGTGCCGCTCATTTATCTCGTAATGAGTGGGCGTTTGAAACGCTTAGAGAGACAATGTTGTAAATATATTGTGTAGGTCGCGATGCTATTAGACCGGATTGTGTCCTGGTTGGACTTGTCATATAAAAATTAAGTTTAATGCATTATTGCATATAATTTTTAGGATAAGGATTTATTGTAAAAATTTAAATTTGATTATGATATTTGTTGGATTGTATGTGTAATATATGGAAAACTAGTTATATTATTTTTATAACGTCAAACGAGTTGGTAACTGTCGAAGACTTGTAAATGGAAAGTGTTGTTATGTTATTGTGAAGCATGTTCACAAACTGATTAAGGCTGGACTAATATAGATTTGTGGATGCTGTGGTCTGTCTTCAGTAAACATATATGTCTTATATCAATAATATAGGGTTAATCTTAAGTACAATGTTGTTGAAGTAATTTTTAAACATAAATGTCAAAAGCACTTATTAGTTTGTTTGAGTGATCTATGTAAAATTTTAGATCAGACTATAAATGGAGTCTTTAGTAATAACCTCTATGTAGTTTTATTAAATAAATTTTAATCAAAACTTTGTTCTTATTTTTCACTTTTAAATAGGTGTGTAAATAGGAAAGCCCACGCAAAGCTTTTAATAGATGGCGTTACTAGACCAATGAGACGACAAGTTACTGACAAGGTTATAAAAAAACTTGTCTTAAAACGAGATGTGTAAATCTGGACGTATCGCTTGGTATAATCATCAGAGCGCCAGAGGCTTAAAACTGTTGTGGTTATCCCCAAAAAAGTGAATTTGGTCTTCAAGTTGAGAGATTAGTGAGGTACAATACCTGGAAGTTTCGACATCAAGCAGTGGCGGATAAAGATATTTGCCACAAGTAGGCTATTAAATTTCTGTCGCCCCTACTAACCTCTACAATTCAATACCCTTTTTTTACGTGTGGTAACCCCCCTCGGGCCGTCACCCCACCGAGGTTTGCGGCGGGGCGGTGATACGGCAATCGAACTGACTAAAACTATATGGAATGAAACTGTGCCTGAGGAGGGATCCGGGAACAGTTGTTATTGTGTGCGTTGCCCCAGGGGAAGAAGTTCGAATTTCATTATTTGAGTTAAACAGATATTTAGTGTATGACGTCGTGTAATTGTATTTGGTAAGTAAAAATTTGTGCATCCAACCATTAGGAAGTTATTCACGAAAAACTGTTTCCAAAGAATAAAAAAAGTGCCGTAGAAGAAAAAACTGGTATCAAAAATTAGAGTATGACGTGAGGTAATTGTGTATGTCTAAATGAAAATTGTGTGTCAATAAACTGCGAAGATAATTAAGTTTCCGCTGCGACAACGTTCGGACATTTACTAGGTTTCATATAAAACGATTTTCTAGGGAGCTGTAGATTTTTTCATACGTTATTTTGAATTTGTTTATACTGTTTGTAAAAACGGATTAAAAAAAATCATACCATTCAGAAGATAGAAAGATAAGCGTAAAATTAGGATATTAGGTCCTAGTGCTTAGTGCTTATGCACTAGGTTCTACTTTTTGACGTTTATTCATACCTTGTAAGCATCTACAACGTCTTGAAAAGTATCATTGATGTACTCTTAGTAATTAATGAGCTATGGAATAATTTACCATGACTGGACCACTGTTTCATATGCAGTCCTATTGCACGAAATTCTAAAGAAAATGCGTTATAAAACCTATTCCAATAATTAGCGCATTAATTCAACTATTCACATCTAAAATTTCATTTCTTTACACTCAATAATTAAAGAAATGCAATTAAAATACTCACCGCAATTTGTACATAACCCGACTGAGTTCGGATGGCTACGAAAAAGCGGCCGTGCAGTACATTTAGGTAACATTCTAAAATTTACATTATAGTATATATAGTAATTTTGATTATTATCTACAAGTAACAATGACTTTTATAGATTGGACTATTAGGCATAGATTTCTAGTTTTTTTTCTAGATTCTCACATTTTCAGATACCCAATATTTAATTGGGTATCTGAAAATGTGAGAATCTAGAAAAAAGTTTTCCAAGCAGAAAACGCATGACTAGACTGTGTTAAAATTTTGTTAAATGGTTGCAGTTGACTTAGATTGGAGAAAAGGAAAAGAAAAATCTGGATTGATGATTTGTGACACAAACACATGTGACAGCCGAAAGAATCCGATCCGATCGGATACGACGACGCGTCATAGCGCGGTCAAGCTGCTGTGCACGACTTGGTAATATAGACTTTAATTACTGTGTATACGATTAATATCATGTAAAGATTGTAAAATCCGATTTAGATTCCGATTTTCCGTTTGGTGGAATAATATTATAGACTAGGAAATATTGAATTTCATTTAAAACTTAAAACTCATCATCTCTTATTCTTGGAGGCGGATAAGTACATAATTAATGGTAAGTATATTTATTTATTTGTCACATTACAATTAATTGTATAACTACGGACTTAATGCCACAGGAATTTTCTCCCAGTCTACCTTTGCGTGGTGGGGAAATTTCTGAGTAGGTGCACTAGATTTTTTTGTTTTACAAAGTTAATAATAATTAAGGAGATTTATAGAAACAGTTGGAAAGATTGGAAAGACATTCTGAAATACACATACATATATACTTACTGAGTTACATATATACACAAATAATATCTAAAATTTTACGGATATGATAAATCTGCTAGGGTGTCTAAAATACGAGCTCGGACTTTCATCATGTCGAAATGATAGAGGGCTGTGTACTATCCTCCTTGCGATGGTATGATAATATTATAGGTATATGGTATATTATATAATTTTTCCAAGATATAATTATGGTCTACCTATCTATGCAATGAATTGCCCATTATGCATTTTGGAATTGTGTAACCACCTGTACTAATTCCATACCAGTATTATACTGTAAATTTAGAATAGTACCTAAATGTACTGCACGGCCGCTTTTTTATAGCCATCCAACCTCGGTCTGGTTATGTAGGAGGCGGACATTCGAGAGCTTCATGCCGCTCCGAGCGATAATTAATAAAAAGTTAGTCAAAATTACTAATTTAAATTGTAGTTTAGACCACTATTGGCATATTTAAAAAATCCGTATTCAAAAAAGGTATATTTCACGAAGCGTTTATTAATTATTCAAATACAGATATTGGAGATTAGTATCAAAATATTGTTATTTTTGTTAAATTTTCGAGACTTCTTTTCTCCGTTTATATAATGTCCTTTTATATTTTTGTTAGAAAAAAAAACTAACTATAGAATGCTTGGACCACTAGGTAACATCCCTTTTGAATTTCAGGTATTACTTGCGTTCTCGAATTGAAATTAATAGACAAGAAATTCTTACGAAAGTGGGACGAAAGTAAATAAATGTTGGCAAGATGAAGCTGTTTTAATGTGATTCCTCCTACCTCTTCGGGGATATACTTGTGAGAATGCCAATTTGGAAAAGATGTTTTAATTTAAAATGCAGATGTAATGCAGATGGTATAAAGTTTATTTTTATTTATCACAACTCAGGTGTTTTATACTCTTACTACATACTAAACTACAAACTACGGTAACAATAGCAATTCATAAATTCGTAATAATAAAATAGTTGCAATAATGTACAACATGATAATGAATGATTCTTATTCTATAATACTTTATCTAAAATACATGTATAGGGAAACTATTAAAAAGATTTAAACATTTCAGAAGGTAACGTATTATGTTATAACAACCTACAACAGTTATTGCTTTATTTTCTCAGCTAAAATACACCTGAAAGTTTCATAAATTAAAAACATTTTAACTTAATATAACACTATTGTAAAATTGTAAAAAAAGCCTAGTTGCACCAATGTATCTTTCGATGAGAATACTTAATATAATGATATCACGTGGCAGGCCTTAACTACTCTGGTAAATGCTGCATTTCTGGTAACACTTCCTTTGATGAGAGTGAATATATGAAAATGGCATTTATTCTGAGCTGGATGTTATGAGAGGGCCTGCCGCGTCGTGTTGGGCAGTAAGAGGCACATGAGACCGCCACCAGCAAGCAGCACGGCCACGATGAAGGTGGGCGCGGGGCAGTACGTGTCCAGCAGTGCTGCGATCACCACGTTCCCGATGATACCGCCCAATCGGGCTGCTACCATTGACACCGCTACTCCAGTTGCTCTGAATAACAAAATGAACAATTAATGATCATCATCATCAACAGCCTCTAACGGTTCACTACTGGACACAGACCTCTCCTTAGAAAGGAGGTTTTGGCCTACTATACCACGTTAGCCATACGGGTTGGTAAAGGGTTCGTTTCAAGTTTTCCTTCTCTTTGCCGTGATGTTGTCCTGCAGAATTTACTCCCTAAGTCGGCTCGTACGACGCCCACGAGATGAATAGGGGTGGTGACACTCCTTATTCTTAATCCGTCATCACACGGAAGGAATGATCAAATAATAGTATATTTCTACAAATACCTATTATTAATTTATATTTTTAATAATCTCACACGTCATGCGACTACAGTTAATTTTGGTCTTCGGTAGAATGGAATTATTTTTAAATTAAACACTTAATTATAGAACTATAAATTAGAACGAAAAATACAGGACATCGCTCTGTACCCAATGTAAACATTTTATTCATGTTCAAACCGAATAAAAATTTTACAAGTTATATCTCACCGTAAGTTTGTAGGGAAGACTTCAGTGATGAGACAGTCGAGTGAAGCGTTACCACACGAGATCACTGAACTGAAGATAGCGCTTACGATTAGATTATTAGTTTTATTGTACACGAAGTACATGGCAGCTGAACAGCAACCAGCCGAGAATGTTGCGAATACTGTAAAAAAAAACACTTTTATTAGAGTCCTTTTTTATTATGTAGTAGATTACCAACTCTCCATCACTCTTAGATTTAGGTTCTTCTTTTTACAATAACACAAAGCAATTATTCACCTAAGAAAAACTTTCTTCCCAGTCTGTCCATTCCGAGTACAGCAAATATATTAGAAGGTATAGCAGCTGCTACAGTGATGAGGGAGTCCATGAAGACGTCAGAGTGTATATGCGCGTCACATTGCGACGCTGCAGAGTGTGTCCCGGATTGCGTCACATACTTCGTCACCATGCAGATATCTGCCTCCGCATTGTCGTGGGTCCGAGACCACTCGTCGAAACGGTTGAACATTTCGGGGAACCACATCATCAGTCCGTAGTAGCTGTAAATAATTTATTGTGTTCCATATATTAATACACAAATAAATAGCATGTGAATGATACTGGTAAGTGTATAAACTGGAAGATGAATGGAGACTAGGTTCTGGTTTGGGTAGAATATTTCGTCAGATACCATATTCAAATCATGAACTTATCGTGCCACGATGGAGAACACACTATAGGCTACGGGAAGAAAAATATCCTAGAACCAATCAGAAGCAGTGGACAGTATCTGCTATACCTACTCGTATATACCTCCACCCAGCTAAGAGACATCAGATATTTATTGCGATGTCTGATAACACAGTAGTTTTAGTCGGTTCAACTTCTCCATACCATCATCCCTGAATTCCATACAATTAAAAAAAGGATGTCCTCAATTTGTGGCAAGTTTTTATCTGCTACACATGATGCATAGTAGGCGAAAAGCCATTATCTTGTTTAAAAAACAATTCCAAATGCCAAAATTTGCAGGGCATAAACATATCAATCCGAGAAAAGAAATGATCAAGATAAAGTACTTACCCAATATGGAATGTAAAATTGATTGTAATAGAGATCGTAGTGAATTTGAGTATAGGCGGAACAAACAACTGCTTGCTATGTTCAACGATGTCACTAAACATTTGCCTCATCTTAGACTTTGCTTCTTTCGTCTCAATTTGTTTCTCTGGCTTGCATATCATAGACTCATCAACTAACAACTGTTTCACCGGGTACTCCTCTTTGCTGCGACCAGTGTTCATCATATAAATACCTCGGAACACTTCTAGGGCATCTTCATGGCGACCGGTGGATAGCAAGAACTTAGGTGACTCTGGCAGCAGAAAGAGTAAAGCGGCGACCACGAATGAAGGTAGTGACATGACCAATAAGAAGATACGCCACGAGTTGTATACAAAGCCGTTAGTAGTGCCTCCGATTTCTAAAAACAAAGTACAATAAAATATTTAAGATAGTTTCGATTTATTTTATAAAAGACTAACAAAAAACTAGTTAAAGGTTTCTTTTTCAAGGCTCGTTAGGGTCATTAGAAAAATGATTTAAAGTTGATGATATATATAATTATCTAATTTTCCTAATACTTAACACTTTATCTATGTTTGTACATAGAGTCTTTTGTCGAAAAACTCAGCCTTGCTTCGTTTCAAGAAGCCTTGGTAGATTTTTTTAGGCTTAAAGTGCAATACTCGTTATTGCACTTTAAGCCTTTTTACCAAAGTTATTGTCCTCTTTTACATTTATCACGATGTAACTAATGCATTAGTGCTCTAGTTTTAATCGAGTCTGTCTTTGATATAGGTACGCTATATGTCTGACAGGTGGATTTGAAAGCTGAGTTCATTACAAAGGTGATGGTAACAAGAATAATTTTACTAGCTATGTTTAGGTACCAAAAACGTCTTAATCTATTTTAGGCTTCTCACCTTTGTTCTAGTGACTGCATTCATTTACTTTAGAGAAAAGTACATAAACATTAGAAATTACCACTAGGAATTATGACCCATGCCAGACCAGCAACAAACAAGTTGCCAAGAGTCCAGAAGGCAGCCATGAAACTCAACATAGCACCTCGCTTTTTCTTCGGTTGGAATTCTGCGAAGTATGACCAAATGACAGGACCGGATCCTCCCAATCTGTAAACCACTCTTAATCTTAATATACTTAAATACTTCAATTTTGTTAGGTCAAGTTATAAATTGTTGAAAATAGTTTTCTTAGGCTTACTACTATTGTAGGGAGTGTCAGTGAAATCACAAGGTAAACCACAGTTGTTAATCATCATAATATATCCTAATTTGTTTATGAGAAATCAATAACCGCTGCACCGATTGGCCTGGAGAGAATTTGATTCTTGGGAAAAGGCATAGGCTACTTTTTACCACGATAATCGACCTACACGCGGGCGGAGCCGGCAAAAACTAGTGGTAAAATACTTCACATTCACGCAGACATAATATTTGCACAGATCTCGACGTAAAGCCACAATATTTTCTGGGTTAAATAAAGGCCCATATCTTCACTTAAATCCACTTGTTACGAATGATTGATCAACAAATAGTTCGTTGCCGTGAGCTTTTAGAAAATGTCGCTGACCAAGGACACTCCGCGGTTTATTTGACATTACTTATATATATATATATAAATTACATATTGAGTAGCAGTCGATACTTACGCGGCTCCGTTGATAAAACGAAATAGCATGAAGAGCTCATAGTTCTGGCTGAAGGACGAGGCGACGATGGCGAGTGCGTTGACGATGGAAATGGCTATGAGCACGCGTTTGCGACCTAGCGAGTCTGCGACTGAGCCCCAGGCGTACGCACCCATCATCATGCCGATAAAGATTATGCTGTTGAGCCATCCCTGCAATAAAGGACAATACTGAATAAATGGAGTACTAAACAATATTCACATGATGGTGTCATTGATGATGTCAATGGAGTTAATAGATATTTTTTAAGTAAATTTGAGCCGGATCAATACGGTGTAGCTAAAATACGAAGCCCTAATCTATAGTTGCATAATTGTACTTTAATTGTTGTAATAATAATCGTAATCTTTTATAAATATGGATAGAAATCTTCACCTCTTTATTAAAATCTTCGTCGCATAAAACTATGATTAAAATTTATGTATTTTCTTGAATCATTAAGTTATGAATGTTTTTAGTTATAATTTCAAATTGCCGTCACGTGTATTTGCTTTATTTGTTATATAGTTTAATATTAATAGATAAACACTAAGGCAAAACCCTTACATATATCTCTGTTCTACGGCGTAGCATTAATAAAGCAGTACATTTTCTATAATATACTTACTTATATTTCTCCCTCATATACTCGTATATATCTATATATTATCTCATATTTTTATACGTAGATAATAAATATAAGAACAGAATGAAAAATTTGGAGCATAATACATGCTTAGGTATCTCCTTAACATCTTTACGAAATGTATTTGTGTATCTGTATTTTATATATTCAGTTTAAATAAAGATGTGTATATTAAACAAGTATTATCTGTACCTACGGATGGCGTAGTGGTTTAAGAGGTCACCTCACTGCTTCCTACTGCGCTGAGTGTTGTGGGTACTGTTACGTATATCTAATGTTCCTAAAAGTGCATAGGCCACCCATATCCCTGTCGAATGGATGGTACAGTCCAAAGGTGACGTGTCAGCATTTTTGCCCACGCACCAGTCCTATGCCCGCGCTCCTCAGTCCGCATCCATAATCCGTCGCGTGTACTCGTCTTAATATATTTCGCGTGTGCCAATTAAATATACTAAATCAAGTGATTTTCAATATTATAATCGTTTAAATTTTATAAGTTATTTTTTTTAAAACCTCAGAATCGGCCCGCGTAACAGTACGATCCCCAGATGGGACAACACTTTGTGTGATACACAAATTGTTGTTTTGAGTCTGTGTATTCTTTGTGTCTGTTTCATGTATGTTTATAAAGTCCCCCGTGACACAGAACATATTCTTAGCGTAGGAGTTGTCTTTTTAAAAAATAAACACTTAAGTGTATACTGGATGTATTGTATACTGATGTATTTATACATCCGGTTGCTAGTTTTAGTCCTAGAGACGGCAGAAAAATCTGCCAGCGGCCCATATCTTCCGAAGCATAGCTCTCTCACATTAAATGCAAGATAAAATTTAAATGTACAAGATCTGCGTTTAAAGTTATTAGGTATAAATCAGTATTTGCATTTTTGGAAAGAATTGATAAATACTTGATCCGATTATTATTTGAAATCGTTCTTCTGTATTGCTTTACACGAGTACATACGAAATAATGTCTAAAAAGTCGAAGTAGGGTAGACAGTTAATTTAAAGAACATATTCGTTATGTCCAAAAGGTTATATTCATTCCCAAATGACGTTTCACGTGGGGAATTTTATAAGTTCATTAATAATCGCCGTTAATCAATACAAATTATATACACAGCTCTTTTGCCCTGCAATTATGTTATGAATAAAAACATCATAAGGTTTTATCATCTATGTCACTCGTATTTCTGTAATATTACAAAATCACTTATCTTGGGTATTTAACTGTCATGTAATGGTAATTTCTATAGTTTATGGTTACTTTAATTCCACCACGTATAGTCAGACTCCTTTAAATTATAATTATATTTATATATTTCTAACAGAATCAATAAATATCTAATTACTGTATAGACAATCACATCAGGTAATCGCATCACATCAACAGCCTTTAATAGTCCACTGCCAGACATAGGTTTCTCTTTAGAAAGGCGGATTTGATCTACTATACCAGGCTGACCACTTAGGTTTGTGTCAAGTATTCCTTCTTCTTGCAGTGCTGTTGTCCTTCGTAGTTTGCTCCCTAAGTCGACTCTTACGACACCCACGGGATGAATAGGGGCGGTGACACTCCGTATACTTACTCCGTCACCACACGTATAAACTGTACGCTTAAAGTAATAAATGATGGTAATAATTAGCTATGGACAGATTGCTAAAATTAACATTATCTTTGTTCATCATTCTTCAGTAGCTTTCAAGATAACAATACGGTGTAGAGTTTGCAGTGGTGATATTACTTTGATGAATGCAACGAAAAATAAAAAATGACAAGTGCAGGTTAAGAAGTGATAGAATAAGTGTTGATATTTCTCTTTCTCATTGTTTGATCTCCCGTAATTATTTGTCATCATTAATAACCTGTAATCAGAATTTAATTGATTTAATATCTTATTTAATGTTTTGACCACTAAGCATTATAATTTTATTTTATACATGGTATTTAAAAAAATAAAAATATAGGTGACCAAAAACCAACTAAATTATGCTACGGGCGGTAGGAATTGTGCAACAAGATAGTTATACTTATCGCAATAACCAGTTTAGCAATCGGCCATTTATAAGATTTCAATTTTAAATTTAAACATACAATTGCAATAAAAAAAAAATCAACTAGTTGTTTAATAAAATTGAGAGATATTAATATACTAAAAAGTTTGTTTGCGACCTAAAGAAAACATCAAAGCATAAAATTTGAGTCTTAAATATATGTATCTCACTGTACTCAGATAATTAAGTAAGTACTACGAGTATTATGGAAGTAGGTCATACTTAAATATAGTTTGCTCGGAAATCGCGTGAAAGTGTGCGAATGAACTCACTTACATTGTACTAGTATTAGCAATTCTCCAAAGTGACCTCAACGAGCTATCAAAAAGCTCCAACATATGATTTATACATTCTAAAACATGGCGATATTTTAACACTGATGAGCTAATCTAACGAAATTTTAGCTTAACCCAATATTTCTAGGGTTTTAAATGAGGATTAGTTTTCATCTCGAGCCGTTGCATGTAGTGCCTTATACTGCTGTTCTCGTTGTTTTACTATTACTAACTAACTTTTACTAACTAAATTTTAGCCAATATAAATGCACTAAAAGCGAATGATACGAAGAGTGTCATGTAGCTGCTTGTGGAAATTAATCATTCTTGGTTTTTCAGTCTTTGACGACAACAGGTCACTGGAGGCACAGGTAACCAGTATGAGGAATCATTTTATATGACGCATCATAAATATGATAAATATGTCACTATATTTTACATTTCCTACCTCTTCCACATTATCTTTCTAAATAAATAAATTACGTACTACGCAATTATAATATTTGACGTAAATGGGTAGATACTAGATATGAGAGAAGATACACAGTTTAAAATAAAGACAATACTGTGTTATAATAGAATACAAATATCTTACGAGTAGATGTTTCCATTAGATGTCCTTATTATATGTAAATATTATGATGTTCTCCAAATCATACCAGTTTGAAGATTTTATTTAGCTAAGCTACGAAGTTAAGAAGTCAAGCGCTGGAGAAGTTATAATGGTTTGAGGTTAATCACAATTTTGACATTGTGTTTTCGAAGAAGTGAAAAAAATGCGAGAGAACGACAAAGGAAGGATGTCAATTCAAATTTATTTAATTTAAATATAAGTTATAAAAGCTGCGAATATAGAAAAGAGGAAGTACATGAGCATAAACAACACGTTTATCACGTTATAAATACATAGTAAGTCAATAGACACGTGTTTAAACTTGGAAGCATTGCGCATCAGATAGTCAAATTCCGCTTACCGCAGAAGCAGTGATGCTAACTAATTGCGACGCAATTTAGTGATTATATGCTTACTAAATAAACATTTTCTACCGTTTGCGGCTGTTATAATGATCGCCATGTGTCAGATATGCTTCCATTTACGGCTTATAACTTAATTACTTAATCATTCCTTAGTTGATCAGGAACGTAGCATACAATTTGAATGTTAAGGATAAGATTGTACGCAATCAATAGAATTGAACACAAAAATACATAATGTAATAGACCGAAACGAGAGTTAAAGTTCAAGTATATCAATAATACTAGTTGACTCGCGCAACTTCGTGTATGTCTCCCAAAGGATTTCTTTTCCTTGATTTTGCAATTTTTTTATTAAAGCTCCGCTCTTATTGGTGATAGCGTGATGTTATATAACCTTCCTAGATAAGTAGGCTATCAAACACCAAAATTTTTTTTACAAAATCTTCATCTTCATAATATAATCGTATAAGAACAGATATTAGCACCGGCAAATTAAGGTAGAACAGTTTATTGGTTGTTTAAGTTTGCTTTGGTGAATATATATACATATATATAAGAACTCGTATGTTGTACTTACTTTAGTTTGCGTGGTAAGGTTTAGGTCGCACTGCGCCGAGGGGAGAATGAACGACATAGAGATGACGTCCATCTCCTCGGAGGTGCTGACAAGGCCGCATACTGCCAGAAGCAAATAGTGAAACCGTCCATATCCTGCGCAAAACGTAAACAAATAAATTTAGTGACGTAATACGCATTGTCATTTCTTTAGATCATTTCAAATGATCTAAGGTGTCATCGTTGCAGTAGGTACCTCAAACGTAATTTGATCTTTATTGATATTAACGATACCATTTTTATTTGATATTAAACTAGCTGTTCCTGCCGTGCTTCGCTGGGGCACATTGTAATTGCACTGGTGAGAAATGAGAACAAAACTGTCGAGAAAAATAGATAAAAACAATCTTTAAAACTAATTGTATTTAGTGTCAAAATTTCAGTTCAATCGGTACAGAGCTTTTTGAGTTTTTTGAAGCGTACACAAACCAACGTAACATTTTGTATATATCTAGATTTACAAGAAACTTTTCAGAAGTTGTATCACATAATCGATTATCACATAACCAATTATAGTGTCAAAACAAATAATCATTCGAATTGACACGAAAGTTCTCGAGTTGTTTCAACGAGGGAGTTATCGTACGACGCGGTTCCGAGAACAGGTGGTGTGTTTACACCGTGGAACTACCGCCATTCCGTATAGAATGCCATGGGAGCATTACTCATTCATAAAACTCTGCATTATGACTCCCACCGCTTATACTACGGTATTATTTACACACTGTTTGTGTTCGGGCTCTTGTTTGTATCATATACTATTTCATGATACCAAAATGGTCTTAGCGTTGCGTTAACTTGTTATTTCAAAGATGCTCTGAACCAAAAAGAAAACGCCCACCTTTTTACATTACCTATTATAGTTGCTAGCTTTTACCCGCAGTTCTGTCCGTGTATATGTAGGTTATTTCAGTAAAAAGTAGCCTATGTTACTCGTAGATAATGTCGCTTCCATTGGTGAAAAAAAAAATCGCTTTTGTGGTTTAGGAGTGAAAGCTAACAAACAAACAAACTCACTTTCACATATAACATAAGTATGGATTTTGAGTGATAACAATTAGTAGTTGTATTTGCCAAACAATTCTTTTTGAGTTTTGTGTGACAATAGGATTGCGTCACTTGTTCTTGGCTAACCCTTTCCGCTTGGACATCAGTATACCCATAAACACTACTACTCATTAAAATCAAAAGTCAATGAAAAGGTGTCATTAAACACTCACCACCAAACACTTGTTTGCCTCTTTAAAAATACAAAAAAACCAAGATACCTAACGAGTAAATTCAAAAAGCATTCGTCATAGTTTGTGGTTATATGTATGTCCATAAATTATTTTCTGAAAATACGAATAACAGTGAATGTAAGTTGAATGTATACTTTAATAGTAAACAGTAGGTATTTGATTCCGCATTGTATTTATGACGATCGTCAACAATGGATCTAAACTGCGCAATGCAGGACTCGACTTTGTAGGTCAATGATACATAAAAACAAGAATTTGTAACTGAATACGATATGGAATACTACAACACTTTTATTTGAAACGGAAATTCGCAGTTACATCTTGCTAGAATTAAATTGGCGACAATACCATGACTACACTGCGCTGTTTTATTGTTTTTAAGAAAACTTTCCTGTAGTGTTTGTTATTTATTTAAAATATAATACAATCTTAAACCATACCCATGAAAATATTGACTAAACGTACGTCAAAAAAAATAATTAAAACCATAGTTCATGTTTCATTAACATCTTTATCATTAAGATTGCCGTAATCAGGGTTGATATTGTGATGAAAGTGTGATATTTCAGGGCTGGGAGAAAATATTTTAAAAGAAAAACCAACGCGATCACGCCTGCCTTTAAACATTTGCATAATTAACAATTTCGCTGAAAAGCGTACTTCAATAAAGTGAACAAATATTTATTAAAATAATACCTATTTTGTACAAGTGTTTTTTAACGAGGAAAATCAATATGTTTCGGTTGACTGAATAGATAATGAATATATCAATAGTTTCATTTTTTACTTATGAAAATGTTAAGAAAATATTAATATTCTTATGGTATATTAGGTGACAAATAAGGGTTTCGGGGTCGTCGGTGTATCAAGGATTTCCTTCCTAGGGTACACCTGTTTTCCCGGCTACTGGTAATTGAGACGGTGTGCATTTTTTCGTCGGTCAGGGTACGACATAACCACCGGGTGACAAAAAAGGGGTCGCTTGATGGTAAGTGACTACCGCCGCTCATTGACACCTGCAACTCAAGAGAGGTGCAATGCCGCCAACTGCCCTCTCACTCACTCGGTAAATAGCAACGAAAGAGTAGCTTAACACCGGTTTTCTGTGAGGCCGTGTTATTATTCCGTATTAGTCGGTAATAGTGTGTTGAACGTGCACATGACTTTTGTGTATACAGTATTTATATTTTCTAACCTTGTTTGATATATAACTTTTTTTTTTTTTTGTTTTTTTTTTTTTTTTTGTTTTAAACAACTCCCGCACTAGGAATAAATCCTGTGTCGCGGGGGACTTTACAAACATACATGAACTGTTGAATAGATATATAACCTTGTTTGATATATTAAATACATTGACATATTGACTTAATTATTTGTGAAGACTGAGTTAAGTTGTTCAAATTCAAACGTACCGGCTAATTCGATAGCCTTTTCGAAGTCAGCTTTCTCTGAGTTGGGGCCCTTTTCTGGATCGAGCTTCCCTGGTGTCTTCAGCGAAGGAACGATGCCTGGAATTATAGAGATTATGTGAAAAACCAAGTTTTTTTTTTTTAGAAAAAATAATAATACGGGGATTTGTGTAATAAATAGGCATTACGTATCTTTGAATTACCTAACGTTTGGACCAGATTGCACTGGTCACTTTAAATCACGTTAATTTCCATATTTATAATAAATCATGAGACACAAAATTCAAAGTTAGCATAAAGATTTATTTATTTATAAGTTTAGCGTATACATTTAAAAAAACAACTAGGGAATTCATAAAAAAGTTTTATCTTTTGATGACAACCTAAATAATTCATAGGGTTTTGATTTTTTATCAAGAGAATATGATCTGTCATATTCCTCTTGATAAAATATCAAGAGTATGTGAATCTATTCTAATTCCTTTTAATATAATAACTTAAATGCCTCAACAGTAGTGATTAAAAGGCTATTTAATCTTTATAGTTTAACACCTCTCATTTGTGTACACATCTACTTTATTTGACTATCTGTTTACTAATATTCCTACACCTTTTACACGTTCACAAAATGTACTTGACTTCATGTAAACTATCGAAAACCGGTATTGTATTTAAATAATGTTATTCTATAGTAGTGAGATAAGTTTTAGCATATGTTATTACATTCATATAGGCGTATTAGCCTAAATATTTGTGTACATTTAATTTTGTATTTCTTCTAATTAATGTTTTATTATATTTAATGAAATAGCTACCTAAATCATTACTCAGATCATGTTGCTACGGTCGGAATTCTTTATCAGGCAGCGGACATACCTTTACTGTTAGTAAAGGTGCCTCACTGCTACAGAGCCCTTTTTTTCTAAGTGGGTAGAATAGTAGAGTAAAGTTGTTGCAACACTGTTATTCATCTGCCATAGTTTCATGAGATATATTTCTCTATATAAGTCTGTCTCTGTTTAGCTGTCAGTTTTCATATTCATTCACTGTTTCATATATATTTGAAAACGAAAGGTTTAAACTATTAATGAATACCTATAACTTTTCAAGTAACGTGAGCTACCACAACTTCTTGCCAGTACAAAAATAAATCTAATATTAGTAGGAATAATATTTTAGTAGACACTTACCCAGCTCGATAGTTTTGGAACCTGGTCCTTTTAGTTGGTGCTCACTTTTTACATCACAATCTGTAAACAAAAAAATAACATTGAAGACAAACGTTTGTGTCAGTGTTTTTTCTTTTAACAACATAATGTGTTTAATTATGTTTTTTCTTCGTAAACACTATTCAGGCCTGCTAAACCAAAAGGCTGTCAACATTGTGATTGCGCAATGCTTAATTCGCACTTTTCCATTAACATATTTGGTACTGGATATTATGACCCTTAACTTTATACGGATAGATAACAATTCTATTCTGATCTTACATTTATGTTTGGTGAGATATGTAAATAAAGTTATTTCTAGTGTCGAAGTTGCTGAGTAAATATTTACAACTTGTCAATAACTCACGTTTCCTTAACGTAATTTATCTACTAGTGGAGTTTACTAAAACAACTACTAAAATTTATATATTTTATAGGGTTTGTAATAGTAAATTTAATGTCATTATTTTATAAAAAGGCTTAATAATTCGGAATCGTTCTTAAAAAAAAAATAAGTTACAGATACATAAAGCATTTGTAAATACATATTATGTATAATGGCTAAAGTGTAGACTTTTAATAAACTTAGGTAGACGAGCCTGTGTTCTTTTGATAAAAAGTTAGATTTTACTATGAACACAGGTGCCTGATAAAAAACAAAAATTTAAAGTTCTTGAAAAAGTTTTTTTTTTTAAATAATGGCCATAAGGATTCGCTTACTACATACAATACCGTAAACATTATTAATTAAAAAAAACAAAAGCACGAAGTTTAATTGGTAAAAAAATTATTTTTTAATGTATAAAATTCTCGTGTCACGGTGTGCGTGGTTAAACTCCTCCGAAACGGCTCGACCGATTTTCGTGAATCTTAGCGTGCATATCGGCTAGGGTGGAGAATAGGACAATATCTATTTTTCATACCCCTAAATGAGAAGGGTGACCCCCTAAATATTTTTTTTCAAAATTTCCTAGAAATAATGTATATGGCAAAACAACGTTTGCCGGGTCAGCTTGTTTATTTATACATCTTTATTATACATCGCTACAGTATATATTGTACAGACATGGATGGACATCTACATTTTTGTATTGCAATAGGTGGTCTTATTACTCGCGGCGTTCTCTTACAGACAATCTTTACACGGATATTGGTGCTAATTCTGTTGTTCGAAAACTCTCTAAACAAAACTAAAAATCCCTAAAAAAAAAAAATGTCCTGCCAAATTCTACGTTTTCAGAACAGGAAAAGTTTTTTTTGATTTTTAGAAAACAAATTTTTAGTGATTTTTAGTTTAGTTTAGAGATTTTTCGAACAACAGAATTAGCACCATTGTTTAATCTAATTTAGGGTAGTCTACGGTGTACTTTATAATAGTTTAGATAATAAATATATATAAAAATAAACATACTAAATACTCTTACAATATACATACTACTAGCACATTTAAATTCATATAAATAATAAATACATAATAAGATTATAAAGGATAATACACAAATCGTTTTTAAGCTGTGACGTACCAAGTATCAACAATAATCAATATCTCTTCAACAGCCCTTACAATGTAAAGTAGTAATAATATGTAATTGTGACTAATTAATTATTATTAGCCGCAGTTCTCAGGGGATATACACTTTATAATAGGGGTTAAAGTATGAAATTGGCGTTGTATAGTTGTATATTTTGAATTGACATAAAACCTTCATGGTGTGAGATTTTTGTGTGAATCTTTTTTCACATTATACCTATGAGGTTCTTCTTTTAAAAATGTGCAATATTCGATTTTCGATTATCGAATGTTTTTTCTTATTCAGCTTAGACGTAAAAGATGGATGCTTCGAAAATCCGAGTCATTTTTGAATACCGATTTTTGAATATCGGAACCCGGAACTAATGCTGCAGAATCTGCTCGCAATATCAACGCTGCGTTTGGAGAGGAGAGTGCTAATAAACGCAGTGCGTTTTTGGTTTCAACGCTATCGTAATGGAAACTTCGACTTGAAGAACGAACCACGTGGAAGACTGCCCACACAGGTAAATAACGCTGAATCGAAAGAGATGATGGAAGCCGATCCGAGTCAGACTACTCAGGAATTAGCGGCATGGTTTAACGTTACCCTACCTGCAATGTTGACGTTCTGCCCAGGACGCAGTACAAAATACTTTCGTACAGTTTGAATGTAGATCTCCAGAGTTCTATCGTAAAGGTACCCTTTAGATGGCAGCAATGTATAGATAATGAGGGTAAACATTTGAATTAAATAAATATGTTACATCTTAGAAAAAAACGTATCAATTTTTCACTTTATACTTTAACCCCTTTTTTGTTTTTTTCCGTGCGGAAATCCCCTCGGATACCACATGTCGGTGGCATGTCGGACTCGAACCGACTAAAACCGCACGCCGTCGCCGGGTACTAATAGCCAATAAAATTGAAAATATACTTTGGAGCGTTAGAAATATCTTTAGGTGACGTTTATTTAGTTGTTCATTTAAACCATAGAGGTCACTTCACAGCAAGTATTTCTATTTTGTATTGTACCTACCTAATACATACTCACGTAGTTATATTGAAGAATATTTTAATTAACATGTGGTTGATAAACAGTAATGAATGCCATTTTGCAAACCTTCGCGAAGTCCTTTGAAACGTGGATTTATGACATTGGCGATAAATTTGACAGCTCCGCCATTGATGAACGGATATTTGACCACCTTATCAATACTCTTAAACTTTTATGATAAAATTTGCAGTTGTGTTTAACTAAGGTTTTTATAGCACACCAGTTGACTAATATATACAGAGCTTCAATTGAAATCTAAGAAATATCTAGGTCCCTTATCACACTCTTTTCCAGCAAACTTTGGGGTGGAGATAATAGACGTAATTTTACATTTTTTTTAACAGAACCTTACCATATATGTAGAATTGAATGTACATATATTAAGTAACATGGCAGTCAGTGCAAAACTAAACTAGTATGATTAGTAAATTATGTACATTTATTAGTTTTTACATAAACCGCAAACAATAAGAAAACCGAGAAGGAAAAAATATTCCGGATTAAAAAATGCTAGGTATGTTGTTGCATTTAAGATACATTTTAAAATTATCTTTAAAATACAGTAAGCTTCTGTACAGCTTTTTATCCACGCAGTGAATTTGAAAACAATTAAAATTCACTCCATGTACTGTGTGGTGAAATAAATGTACTTGTGAATTGTATAAATGTATGGTCTTCTGTTTACATACAATTACTGAAACATATTTAAGTTTCATAAGAAACTATGTGATTTTTAAAACATTAAGGGTTTAGAAGTCAACTTAACGCGCGATGGATATAGGTATAGTAGATACAATGGATTTGAAATTGTTTAGACTTTAGGTACAAAAGTTAAAGTTGCTGTTGTAATATCGCTGTAGATTTTAAGTAGTCACCCAGGTATCGGTCATTGATGTGTTGTAGGTAAATTTACAAGAAGTGGTAATATGTTATTCCCCGATTGAAAGAAATCCCCAAGACGACTATTTGAACTACAACTTGTGACTTAGTAGGATTTTACACCAACTTTAATCTCATCACGAAGCGTTCATTAGCATCTACTTCGAGATAATGTAAACAAGAACACGGTGTATGGTGCCGGTAAACAAGAACAAGACAAAAAAATGACGCTGTGCATACATAACACTATTACACACACACACATTATAAATAAATATTACGTTCAGTAACTAACCCAAAGTTTCCAACTTGTTTGATGGAGTTCTTATTATGACAAATAACGTCATGCTGAAAAACTCACGGCCGTCATATATACGTACCACTAAATGGTTTCCTCGGCACAGAAAAAAACGAGTATTCTCTGATAATTCTCACAAGAAAATGTAGCATTCGTTTTTTTTTCTAATAGAGAAAACAAAAACATTGTATTACTTGAACTGTTTGGCGTCGTGTTACGAGTAGCTAACAGTAGGCAGCTTAAGAAACTGGAATCTGTACCCGCCATTAAATCAGTAGGATTACGATTAGAAAAACCGAAAGGCCGAAAGCCCCGTATAATTGTAAGGGACGTACCGTTCTATTGTAGATCTTGCCTTCCTAACAGCCTTATATCGTCAGAATATCAAGGATGAATTAACACAACAACATTAACAAAAATTAACGAGAACGATTTTATTATCATCATCAACAGCCTTTAATAGTCCACTGCTGGACATAGGCCTCCCCTTAGAAATTAGGTTTTGGCCTACTATACCACGCTGGCCAGACGGGTTGGTATAGGGTTTGTTTCAAGTTTTCCTTATATCTGCAGTGTTGTTGTCCTGCGTAGTTTTCTCCCTTAGTCGCCTCTTACGACACCCACGGGATGAATAGGGGTGGTGACACTCTGTATTCTTAATCCGTCACCACACGGACACGACGGACTAAGTTAACCAAAATTGTTAGGCATCGTAAACTAGAAAATGGACGTCAATAGATAGGCTTAGAATTAGAGGCAGCAGTTCGAAAACATCTAGCCAACACAAAAGATAAACTTTATATAGACTGGGCCACTTGTAGATTAAATTTCGATTCGATTCGTTGCTTAAATTGTCAACAATTCGGTCACGTACAAGAGTTTTGCAACATAAAAACCCTAACTTGTGCTAATTGCGCCGCCGGACACGAAACGCGAGCTTGTCCAGATAAAGACACACCAGATTTTAAGCCAACGTGTGCACAGTGCATCTGATCATCGGTGCGGTTTAATTTTAGAACAAAAGTTAGACATTGTCCTTACCCAAGAACAATATTAGAGTGCTCGCTTGCGTAGTAATGTAGTACAGCCGGACTGTCGTTCGCAAGCTGTTGCTGTCGCAAGTTCGCAATCTTTGCGTAATCTTGCTGAGATCACATCCTCTACATGTAGGGTTTACGTAGTGAGCTGCTATTTTCATTATTCACATCCTATTGATCATCACTTACATCACTTACGTTACGCCTTGCAGTCCCACATGGGACATAAAATTATCATTGGCGTTGATCTCAATGCGTCATCTACATTATGGTATGGCAAGTTGCGTTCAACAGATACGGTTCGACTTTGTGCTGTTGAAAATTTCATTGCGCAAATTAATCTTACCATTTATAATACCGCCTATGCACCACCAACTTTCTGCAACCCAATGGGTGAGTTTTCTATTGACTTGACGCTTGCGCGCGGTGACGTCTCGATATCCGGATGGCGTGTATTCCAGGACGCATCTTGTAGTGATCACCGCTTGATCGTGTACGAATTCAAACCAAGGGTTGCACAGGATCCGCAAAGAGCTCCCTATAATTTCAGATATAAAACTATAGGTGGGGACTGGGCTTTGTTTGGTTCACTCTTTGCAACTCATGCCAAAGACTTCAGTCGCAGTAGTTTATCAGCTGAGGAAAGTGCCGAAATACTATTAGAAACTTTCACATACTGCGCTGATGTGTCTATATCACTAACACTCGTAGATGTAATTGGTGTAATGATGATTTAGCCAACCTACGTAGAAGCTACCGGAAAACTCGTAGGAAATTAAACGCTATTAAAAAGAATAACGTAACAGGAGAATAATGCTCTCATTGGTCTTAGAGTTGCCAGGTAAAAAAATCCAAGGGACACTTAATTCAGAAACTTCTTGATAAACTCGATAGAGATGGCCCGTGGTCACCTTTGTATCAAGAATTTAAAGTAAATAGATCAATCGACCTTAACATTTCAACATACAGAACATCAAAATTAATACCAGTTATACCACAGGAGTAGAACAAGTAGATATTTCCTCGTATTTGGCGGTGCGATAATTATACCAAAAAGCGGCGATAAGCCGCCGGATGATTCTAAATTCTACCGACCAATCACATTGTTACCATCATTAGGAAAGCTTTTAGAACGTCTTCTGGTGCCCTGGCTTCTGCCAGGTGGAGTCAAATTTCACGATAGACAATTTGGATTTACAATTTGATGAAATTGACAACTGATGCGGTTATATCGGTTAAGAAGTTTGTCACAGAGTCAAAATTTCAATACGTGCTGGCTATTTTCTTAGGTATACCTGGCGCCTTCTACAACGAATGGTGGGCCATGCTGTTGCTGAAATTAAAATCAAGGGGGTGCTTTAAAAATATTTATTCCCTTATCTCGTTATACTTTTACTTTGTACTAAGGTACAACTAAACTAAGACTTGGTCAAAATTCTGTGTCGAAGGCGCTTACAATGGGATGTCCTCAGGGATCAGTGCCAGGTCCATACTTTTGGAATATCAGCTTCGACGATTTTCCTGCAATACCAATACCATGCGGATGTACTCTGAACGCGTATGCTGATGACGGATTATTACTGGTGAAATCTGATACGAGAGCGGGGCTTGAGAGATTAGACAATAGATGTTTGAACTTGATATCTCATTGGGGTGAATGTAATCGCTTAACTTAAAAGATAACCTCAAATCACCGCCGAGCATTAAATTTTACAATGTCACTGTAAAAATAAAACCTCAGTGTGTTATTTGGGATTAGTTTTTAGAAATAAACCTTTCATTTCTCGAATATATTAAAATAGTTAATGAAAAGTCTAAAAAGAGTTTCTGTGCATCAACTGCGACATGGGATCTATCATTCAATACACTAAAGGTCATATACGGAGCTACTTTTTTGGGTTCTATGTGCTATGATGCACCTGTATGGGCCGATAGGGTAACCATAGGCGCTGTCCGTTGCAAACTGTCACAAAGCCAACGACTTGCACTGATATTCTTGTGCAAGGCATATAGGACGGTACTGAGGCTTTGCCGATGTTGGCGGTGCGGCGATGTGCCGCCATGTACTATTCAAGACAACAAAACATGGAATGCGATTTTTTGGGCGCACGAGATCGTGATAAAATTACAAGATAGAGATAAGAGTACCTCATAGACGAATGGCAACAACGCTGGGACGAATCATCCAAGGGGCGCCACCTTTACCAGTTCTTTCCATCTGTTCGCGAACGGTTGTCGAGGACCTGGCTTGAGGTGGATCACTGTGTCGCTCAGTTTCTTATGAGTCATGGTAACTTTAAGCGCAAGCTGTATTCATTTAAATTAGTCGAGTCACCATTTTGTCAATGCTTAACACCTACCTCTAACTGTGAACAGTCTGCATATCATATCCTCTGGGAATGTAGTTTTTGATATAATGAACGTAATATAATGCTGAAAAGCTTGCAGGTGACATCTGGGGCGGTATACTATGGGGATCTTGTGTCAACTAGGGTGAATTCTCGTGCGTTTAGGCGGTTTTGCCATACATATTATAGAAATAAAATATAGCTCACTTAAGACCCATAATATTTTGTGGCCGTGGTGCTTCCCTGTTTGTGTATGTCTATTTATGTCCAATTTTCTTCTAAATTATTTTGTTGCGGGTTCCAAGACAGTTTAATTTAAGAACTTTTTGAGACTTATCTTACCATGTCATTATCTTATTTCGAAACAAGAACGAATTTCTTAATATTTTTTTATTATATTACCTTTAATTATATTGCCTTTACCAACTAAATAAAATCTTTATCATATTTTTTTTAATAAAAGACAACTCCAGCATTAGGTATATATCCTGTGTCGCGGGGGACTTTACAAACATACATGAAACGGACACAAAGAACACCCAGACTCAGGACAACAATTTGTGGATCACACAAAGTGTTGTCCCATGTAGGGATCGGACCCACATAACTCAGCATAGTAGCGAGCGGCGTGGCAACCGCTTAAACCACTACGCCATCCGTAATCTGTAATCCATAATATACGTAACAGTAATTTGTCATAGGTACTATTAGATAAATTGCAACGATTTTTCTTTTCGTGAATTGAATTAAGTATGCAGTTAACCCTTGACATTTTTCATAAATATCATTCATATGCAAAAAGAAGGAAACTTTGAAACCAACCCTACACCACGTCTGGCTAGCGTGGTATAGTAGGCCAAAACCTCCTTTCTAACTAAGGAGACACCTATGTCCAGCAGTGGACTATTAAATGATGCAATATAGTGATCATAGATAGCTATATTATTGCATATGTATGTTTTATTTGTACATGCAGTATTTTTAAATCACTTTGTCTATGCTGTGCAACATGAAGTCTGTATTTGTTTCGCATAATGTATAAAAACACACTTGTATAAGTACATTTAGGAATTCAAAGCAAAGTAGTGACAACACGTGGATGCTATTAAATAATTCATAATAACTATTAATCTTTCGTTTTTCAAGTTTTTAGTTTTGACGTTAAAGGTAAAACATCATTGTAAGTTGTAATAAATACACTGTAAAACAATATAACAAGAAATTATAAGCTGCCAGATAGAAATATTGAGTAAATCTATCCGCGCACATGTGCTTGTTTCAAAATGTACATTTGAACGTGTATCCCTGAAAGAATAGTGAAAAGGTATAAAATGCTTGGTGTTTATCACGTAATAAGTTTGTCGTAGGAGTTAGAGTAGAGAAAATAAGGGTCGTGTTAATAGAGAAAGCTTGGTTCATATTAAATTCAGGGAAATTGAAACTGGGAAAACATTAAGACGACATTAATTTTTATCACTTTACGCATTTAATCATTTTAAGAGGCAAATCTTCTTCAGGAATATTCAACCGTTAGAACTCTCCCGGCCCAGCAGGGTCTGACACGAGCCAGGTACCGCAGACGACTCAGGCGCCGGAGGTCGCAGAACGACCTCCGTCCGCCATAAGCGAGGCCAGGTGGCCAGGACAGGTGAGGCCATCTGCCACCCTAGCAGAAGCAGGCCGGGTAAGCGGCAAGCCGCGCTGCGGAGCTCGCGCGCCCTTTCGGGAGCAGAAAGGGAACATGGGGATTCCTACACAGGAGGCGGTCTTCTAGCAGCCGTAGATGACCCGAGCTACGTCGGGGAACCAGGGATTTCCTTTCCAGGGTACACCTGGTTCCCCGGCTATTGGTACCCGAGACGGCGTGCGGTTTTTAGTAGGTTCGAGTCCGACATAGCCACCGGTGGGTGGTATCCGAGGGGATTTCCGCACAGGACAAAAAAAAAAAATATTCAACCGTTGTCACGACGCCTATTGTGACTGCTACTACCTTTTCTACACATTTTTGTTCATTTATACTTACGATGGATATATTAATAGCCTATATAGCACGAGGCAAGTGCAATGGGGAGTTTACACGCCATGCTACTTTACTTAGAATTTCTTTGTAACAATTTGTTCGACCCGGGAATCGAACAAAGGTCTTCACGTGACTCATGGGATATTAGAATAATCGACTTGTATACTTACTGTGAGGTTTTTTGGGCCCGGGGTCACTTTCTACCATCCTATGCGGGCGGGCTGCTATATATGGTCTCCTGGACACTAATAAATCTCACTGGGCTGTGGGTCGTTTCCAACGGCGCACTGCTCGTCTGCAACAATGAATTGATAAAGAAAATAAGTTTTTGCGTGTTGATGAATGATTTGAAGGGAATGAATGTGGCAGATTCCTACTATATACTTATAGTTCCTACTAGATACTTCTCGAAGAAGCCACTGCTCTCTATCTCTCGCTCTCTCTCAGATAGATACCAGAGAGAGTTCAATTTGAAGTTTAGGTAATGTAGTCGGATATAATTCGCGGAAAATGGATCTAAAAATAGTGACATTGATAACCTCCATTATCTTTTTTTATCCGTTAAACATATTTGATTTCAACGAGGATTCGTGGGAACAAAAAACAAAAAAAAAAAAAAATAACAAAAACTGTCAAACGGTTTATCGCGAAGAAAGTGTAAATGTACGAAAAATTTGCAATAAAAAGACGAATAAAATGAGACTTGTAGAGTTTCGATTGGTTGAACAGTTTCTTTGAAAATTGTAAAGTACTGCGTTTTTTTATCATTAAAAACAACTTTACAAGTTCATTTTATTCGTCTTTTTATTGTGCATGTTTCAAAAATTCACACTTTCGTTGTTTCGTTGAAGTTTTCTTGTAAAACACGATATACCGTTTATGTCAGTTAATGTCATTTTTTTTAACAATGTTCAAATGAAATATGTTAATCCTAACGTTGTCAACTAACGGATAAAAAAGAAAATGGCGGTTATCAATCTTGTTCGTTTATACGCTAATTTTATCCGACTAATGTTATACAGTTCGGTAAAGTGTCGACTTAGCCTGCTTACCATAAACTCGTAAACGTAACAATGATATCTATGAAAGAACAATCAGCAGTTACAGATTTTAAGAAACGCCCATCGAGATTGGTACAATGTGTATGCCAAGCTGTTTTTTTTTTGCTGCTAACTACGGATCCAGTAACGCAAGCGGTTACATCTCTTTATAACATAGTATTGCCTTGCTGCTTACAAGTGGTCAAAACTCTATGTTTGGGAGTCGTTAAAAACTTTTAAGTGATAGAGTTTAGTGATAAAAGCTTAAAAGCCATTAATATAAGCCTTGTGTCAAGATATTTGTTAATAATACCTACTTCGGAATAGGTACCATCAACATTAATAACCTTAACATTGAAATGATTGCACAGAGCGTTCTCGTAAAAATAAATGGTTTTATTTTTCTATACAGTGTCTGGCGTCTCACCAGATACTGTTTATTTGCAAATGTTTATTTTTAAGCCAATCAAATTCGTGCAAACCTTTCAAGTCATAAACTTGGTACATGATTCTTCGAGTTTATTACATGAGAGCTAGTCTGAGAATTTCAGCGGAATATTGAAGGGGAAATGATTTTAGGCTGATATTAGTTTCATGTCTCTATGAACTAAAAATAGAAATAAAAATGACGTGATTGGTTATTTAAACACGCTCGATACATCGAGGAACCAAAAGTTTCTATTGCGGATCTCCTCTTGGTTGTAAAACATGACTGATTGCTGCGTTACTTAATTTTGTTTTTATTCTTGAATGTTTTAACGGTATTGTCCAGCAAAAGATTCCCTTCTTGTGGGGTCAAACATTTTCATCATTTTAATATTACCTATGCGTACATTTCGGATTAATGTTTTTATAGTGCGTAGATATTTGTTCAAAAATGAGCTTCCAAACGTGCAGAGACTTCTTGTCCACAGAAGATTGTTTACAAACAAGAAGACAGTGTTCAAGTAGTGTTAGAATGTGGTTTTTTTCTGGCATGTAATCCTCATATGTATATTGATGACGATCTTAAACAGGGTAGGATTGACTTTGAATTTATTATTATATTTTTAATAAGTATCCCACTTAAGAAATTGAATTAAGAAGAACCAACTTTCTACGTTTTGTCACTGATCTACTAATACTTGTCGACCTTCTCTATATTTGGTATGACCTTGTTGTTGTTGACTAACGACATGCTTTTGCTCACTTTCACCATAACTGTTCCATGTAACACATTTATTTGGAATTATCTAGGTACCTAAGTACCTAAATAAACACATAAAAATATTAAAGAGTTATTTTTTAAATTTAACGTGTAGGTACAAAGCTTCATGAGATTGGCAATTATTTTACAACTGCTTTTTATTTAAATTACGACTATTTTTACAAATACGTTAATAGTTCTTTTAATAATTACCAAACGTTAATACATGTAAACTTCCTTATATCCTCTTATAAAATCGAAATAAATAAAACTTGTACAATGTAGCATCAGACAAGCCCACTTAACCAACCCGGTTGAAACGGCGCGTGGCCACGTGTCGCGTCTTTAAACTAAACGTTTGTTTGGTTAATAAAAATACCTAGTTTATAAGACTTATATCATGAGCTCAATAATATGTTTCAACTTTTACATTGCTTTTGATTTGCAATGCAATAGTTCACTCTGTATCAATACAAACTCACCAAAAACAAGTATGAACCGACTAAAACTATTCTGTGTTCCGATTTACCGTATGTGATTGTAATCTAATTAAAAAGAAATTAAGAATCAATGGCATTGAAAAAATACTAGCTACGCTACGCTAAATAAAGCTACTAAAAATACGTAAGTAATATAGTACTTTTGTAATTATATTTTCTTTAAACTCTATGCAGCGAATTTTCTCATCTTTCAAAAATTACTACCTACTTAATGAACGTACAATTACCAATGTGGATCAAAAAGAAATGTATTTTTCTAAAAACAAACCGGTGTTGAGTATATTACATAAAAATTAAGATGATAATGAGTAGTATACAAAGGCATGTGACGAGTGATAACAATAGGCGGGAAGCGCCCGTCAACCGATCGCCTCACTACTACAGTTTTACATACCTGCTTTCAATGTTAGATGATTTTCATATTATTTTACTGTATTATTTTCGTTTCACTCGGAGTCTTTACATTTTCTAGACATTGTTATGATGTCTATGGTCATCTTATTATGAAAACAAGTAGGAAACTCAATTTATTACAGGAATACTCCAAGCGTGTTTAATTGTTTGATTTGCATATAAAACTGTATAGTAATATATTACTACAGTAGACATATAAATCCTTTAAAAAAAACTTGAACCGACTTCAAACAATACCTACTGACAAAGAGCACTAAAAATTTAAAAACAATTACAAATCTAATTAAAAACTATAATAAGTACCCGCAATATTAGTCCCTTCTAGTCTGTTTGAAATCGGTGCCAAGCCAAATAGGTGCTTGATAGGGTTGGTAGAATGTAGTTCGGCAGATCCAACAGTCTTCATGCTGCGCAAAACATGCTGAACGAGCTAAAGTGGGTTACACACATTTCAAGTAATATTATTATTTTGAGTGCTTTATTAAGTAGTTGACCAGTTTGCGCACGTAATCGATCTGGTTGGTCTTCATTAATTAACTAAATCTGTTTCATTAGAATTATATTGAATTCTTCATTTTTTATTGTGCTAACCCCAGTATTACTTATTATGCATCGGCCTTGGCACCGACTTCAAACCGACTAGGAGGGACTGTTGCTATTATAATGTTACCTGTTATATAGACTGTACTTTTTGTAATTTTTTTTTAATTTTTAGTGCTCTCTGTCAGTATTGTCTGAAGTCGGTTCAACTTTTTTTTAAAGGATTTATTTTACCATTTTTAGTGTAAGATATGTTTGTAATGAGTAGATAAGTACAATATTCAAAACACTACGTACCTTAATGTTTAGTACCAAACTGTAGTATGTTTTAGTTTATGTTAGTTTAGATTATATTAAATATAGTTTAATAAGTCCGTTACTTTATTTAGATAGGTAGTAAGATGTTACATTTGAACCCGAAGATATATTGTTTTCTACATTACTTAATTTTCTAAAACTAGGAGTGGTATTTTTTCACACTAATGGAGGAATAAACCCTTCCATAAATATATAAAAATATGAAGACACGGTTTACAAATGAAAGAGTTTTGACGTAATAAACATGACAATAATTGCGTAACAATCTTTTTTTTTTGTCCAAATGTTTTGAAATCTTATTTACTACTCTCTTGTGCACATATCTCTGTAACCCCACACAAACACCTTACAAATATCTTGAAAGAATAAAATAACAATAAATGATTTTTGAAATAGTTATTTTCTAATTCCTAAAGATCAAAGATCCTTCCATCATGAGCTCAGCAACATGACATAACGACTACTAAACGCAAATACCTATAAAGCTAGAGAAATAGGCTAAAACACGTAATCGGGGCTTTAAAATTTAAGGGTTTCCCTCGATTTCTCTAGAATCCCATCATCAGATCCTGGTGATAATGGGACCACCTCGGGAGCATACAATTTCGATTACAATTTTTTTTTTGAAAATCGGTCCACAATTGATGGATATTTCAAACATACAAAAAAATACAGACGAATTGATAACCTCCTCTTTTGTGTTTTTGAAGTCGGTTAAAAATCCATACTATCAGAATACTAAAGATTCCCAAGGCCGAAAAAAGAAAAAGTCGAAATGAATGACTGCGTGAAAAAGAAGGGCGAGTGACAGAGGAGAAGTGTGGACGAAGAAACCTCATCGCACTGACCCTAATTAATATAAAACGAGATTATGACCACCATCATAATACGTACCTCATATTTGTAACCAAATTGATAAAGAAATGAACGTAAGCAGTCAAAATTAGCAACATTTTTTAAATAAAACGAAAATTAAATCATATTTTTTCTATTGATGACTATCTAGTAGTATTTGAGTTACAAAACACTAAATAGTTTAAGTTTTCTTATAACTGAAAAGATACCTATCCTATGATTATATCAACTTATGTCGCCAGCTAATACGTGAACTAATTTGATAATTTTCAATGTTAGGTTTTTATGTGGTTCTTCTAGGACGAGGTCAATTGACATGTAAATACAGTGTTTTATCAGTTGGTTGCAGCAAGT